AAGTGGAATCCACTTAGAAGTGGACAGGCTGGTCCTCATTGCATCAAATTCCCCCTCTTTACTATCTTTAATATCCACAGAGTCTTGGAAAAACAGGGATATGAGTTCCAGGATTTTGCAAGGGAGGCACAGATACTTCCTCTTGCTGTGTACTAAAAAGGGGACTGGTGTGCTTTGCTTAGGAAACTTTCATGAGAAAATTTCCCCAAAATGCATCTAGTGCAGAGATGAGTACATAGCTGGGTCATTTTGCCAGCAACTCCCCACAGAGCATTCGATTCCCCCAAAACCATCCCTCCCTGAGGGTCCGCCAAGACATCTCTTTCATACTTTGCCCAGAAAGAAAGTAAATATTTTTCAATGAAATTCAGCGATCAATTAAACACCGTCTCTCTTTAATAAGAACGTTGAACCAACAGCGGCTGCACATTCCAACAAGAATATTTAAAGCAATTAAACTTTAGCTACTTTTAAAACAAATTCTTTTAAATGCTAATGACCATTGTTTTCACACTTGATAAGTAAAATTTTGTGTCGAGCAAGGTTAGATGATTGCAATGATTTAATTGTACTTCTCAAAGAAAGGAAAATGTTAAGAAAAAAGCTAAGATGGACCTCTTACCACATTCCTACCGCAAAATGTCCTGTAACAATAGAAGCGTGATTTGCTGAAATTAAAATGCTATTATGGTGAAATTAGGGCTTCAATATTTTTAGCAGCTTTAATAGGCCTTGCATTTTAAGGGACATCTGATAATAGATAATTACATTTCATCTTAAAGAAACTGAGTTGTTTTCTTAAGGAAAATACTTTTCTTTCTTCCAGAGAGGTTAAAGCCGAGCCATCATTAGAAGAAGCACCAAGCTCGAGGTTCCTGCTTCAGCTTGGGAAATAGAGATTAGCATATAAATAGCCTTCGGTGCCTGCTTGATTCCAGCTATTTTGCGTTTCAATGTGGCATCAGAATGCACTTAGCAAGAAATGTTCGAGAGGAGAAAGAGGTTTGTAATATGTCGCTTTTATAGAGGGGGGAACTTTAAGTATAAAAGATCATCCACTCCTCTGTGGGCTTTTTTTTTTTTACTGTATCCTTTCAATGCCCCAATTACAGACTCCAAGGAGCCAACAGGCCCCCTCGAACAGAGCTTTAGTTTACGCTGCAGCTCTTTCTTTGGACCGGGAAAATAAGTCAAAATGGTGCACAGGAAATAAGATAAATACATGGACTTCCTCCTGGATTCCTGGATTCGGTGGGAGTCCTTGTGGTTGGGGAGGGCACAGTCATGTCCTTTCTGCTCACCCCCACGCTACCCATCAGCAGCGGGAAGGTGGGACGACTCCTCCAGGACCCATTTGCTGGAGCAATGAGGGAGACTCCTGGCTTCCTGCCTGGAGGTCTGCTTCCCTCCTGGGAAATCGTGAGGACTGGGCATGGAGCCCGGCGGGGTTCTTTCTGCCCCCTCCTGCCCCTATGCATGCACAGGCATGCACACACACACACACACACACACACACACACTCACACATTCAGGCTGACTGTGGTTCAGGTTGAGTCCTGGGCTGCAGCAAAGTGACTCGCAAACCTCAGGCTTTTTCTGTTGGCACAGAGCAGCGGGCAGTTCTGAGAAGAATGGTGCTGCACAGCTGTTTTAGGGGACATGGCTTTTCCTGGATGTGGCAGTGGTGGAGGAGCATGGGCCAAGCAGTGGTAGCCTCTAGTCTAGTTCCTGGGACAGCTCGGGCCATTCCAGAGCCCTCTGTTCTAGTCCAGGCTCCGCTGCAAACTTGTTGGAAACAAGTCAGGCCAACTCTGAGCCTGAGCTCCTTCATTTGTAAAAAGGAGAATTATAAACCCTGCCCTGCCCGCTCATGAGGTTGTTGTAAGGAAGAAATGAGAACTGCATGTGAAAGAACCATGTATTCCCATGTCAGCATTATGTGGTTAAGGTGTTGGCAAGGTTTTTTGTTGTTTTTTTCTTCTGGATCCTCCTTTTGTCACAAGACCCCATGTTTCTGTCCATCCACCCTAGCACCTCACCTGTGCTCCCAGGCCCAGCCTCCCCACCTGGAAACCAGTTAGGAGGTAACAGCCATTTGGGGTGTCTGGAGACAAGACTGGGGTTTAGGATGTGGATGGGTACACAGGGACCTGGGCTCAAGTCTGAGCCTCACCACTTTTAACACCTTAGGCCTATCAGCTGCTGAATGTTAATAGTTCTCCTTGGCGGGGGGTGGGGGGAGAGATTTAATGATCAAATGAGTTTGACACTGAATAAAACACATAAACAGTTTTTTTTTAACTGCAGAACTCCTCAGGGCATTTAAGATGTAAGATATGTAATTTCACCCCAACCTATTTGTCCAGAGACCCTTTGCTCCTTCTTTTTTCTTGAGCAACTGGTGTTCCACTAACAGATTAGGGTTCTATGACTTGGCTACTCAAAGTGTGACACCTAGACCAGCAGGATCAGGCATCACCTGGCAGCTAGTTAGAGATGCAGATTCTCAAACCCAGACCTGTAGAATCAGAGTCTGCATTTTAACAAGATGCCCAGGTGGTTCATGGACACATGAAAATTTGAGAAGCACTGGTCTACAGCATACATACTGGGAAACATGGCGGATTCATCACAGACTGTGTCCATATACCAGCCATCAAGCCAGAAAACCCAGTGGTGAAAAAGTATCAAGTATTATTTGGCATCATGTGGACCAAACAGCTAGACACAGAATTAGGGTGAGATGCTGTAACATCACACAGACACAATCCAAGGAAGTTCCCACAATGGAGAGTTTCTTCCCACTCCGAATGGATATAAAAGTGGATGGAGATGAAGGGATGGATGATCAATACCATTTGCTAAAGACATTCCTAGAATGTAGACATGAAAAGTGTTACATACCTCTTCCTAAAATGTGAAGGTCTTTTAATTCTTAGAAGGAATGCACCTCTATTTCCCTGGATCCCCTCTCAATTACAGAAGTGGTCAAGGCTACTGGCTATACCTGAGATTAATCACCTAGGATACTCTTGGGAAACAGCACACTGACCCCTAACCTGGAAAGTGAAAAAACAGCTTCAAGGGTACAGGAGCTTGTCTTAGGTTTTAAAAATCACAGCTGAAATGACCCATTCATGCAAGATAAGACCTGTGCCTAAAGAAAAATGCCTTTGCTCTTGGCTGCAATTATTTCGATTCATGTGGTCACACTCTCTCAAGTTGACCTGACATTTCAAGCTGCAGCTGAATATATCTTTGCTCAACAAAACATAGGCAAACAAATTAGTTTTTACTTAATGACTTCAATGTTCTGGGGAGAAAAAAACATTCAAAATATGTGCACAGACAGATTCGGTAACTGGCCAGAAGACACAGGGCTTAGAAGTGATGGCATCGGGATTAGAACCCAGATCTGTCTGACCCTGAGGTCAGGACTCTTTCCACTAAGGAGGCAGCTCCAGGACACACACGCATTTTGTCATTCTCTTTGTATTTGGCTCTTAGGAAGATAACTCTTGCCCTAAACCCCTCCTTTTATAATGCAAAGTACTTCTAAGCCCAGTGTTTCTCCCCACCCCCCACCTCCTTTCTGTCTTTGGATTTAGAGCCTTTCATTCATCTTTATTGAATTTCTTTTTTCAAGATTGTTTTCCTATTCTAAATTGTCATGAATGCAAATCATTTTTCTAGTGCTTCTCACAAATAGGATGACTCTGCCTCCCTTAGTCAAGTACAGAGCGCCACAGCCCCCGCTGGAATCCAGGCAACCAGGAATCTGTCAATCAACTTGGATGTAACTCACAGTCAAGATATCCAAAGTGGCGCTCCTGATTCCAGTCTCCCTACCTGCGGTAAGGCACCACCTTCATCTCCCACATCTTGTCTATCAGCAAGTCCTTTCCACTCAACTTCCAAAACAAATGCTAAATCCACCACTTCTCGCCTTCACACCTGTCACCACCCGGTCTAAGCCACCATCGCCTCTCTCCAGGGCCACTGTAAGTCTCCTGACTAGCCTTCCTCCTACTCATCCCCCTCCAGTGCATGTTCCACAAAGCAGCCAGGGCAATCAGCCATGGGACATAGCATCAGATCACACCACTCCCCTGCTTAAAACCCTTCCCTATCAGCATGCAAGCTCCACGAGATCTGGGGTCCCACTTTCATAGTCACGTTGATATCCCTAGTGCCTACGACAGGTCCCAGCACGGAGTAGGTACTCAGTAAATATTATTTACATGAATGAATCAGCAATAACCTTATTGCAAACAACAACAAAGACCTTCTGTTATTTATAGAAAAGTGGACCTATGTCTTTTTTGGTTGTTTTTTGTTTAATTCTAACATTGTGGTTGGTCTTCTCCTGTTTCTGAGAAGGTGTCAACAGATCTAGACTTTAAGCAATGTATTCATTCCCTTCTTTCCAGCCAGCAGAGGCAAAACAAAAGGAATCTGTGACTTACACACACAGATGCAGCTCGCTTCAGTTTTGCTGCTCGAGAATAGATGGGAGGTTATGCTGATTGAACTGGACATTTTCCATTCTTATTATTTTAATTATAAATATAAACTATTGGGGGTCAAATCAGATGGAAATCTGCCTATCAATTTCACAATTAACATCTCATTTCAAGAGACCGATCAACTCAAATGAGGGCCACTGACCTTAATCTTTCCCCAAATACAGTGTTTTATTCCTCTTATGAGTTGAAAATCTCCAAACTGTGAAATATGTGGGTTAACCCCATGTTCACATCAGCGCTGCTGCTGCCACACTGAGATAAGTCCAGGGGTCTTGGTGACCTTTCTGTTATGCCTGTCTGGACATAAGCAAGAAGGCTAACGCTGTGCAAATCAAGTGGGAAAAATAACAAGGTCACTCAAACGGGGCCTCTCTTTCCATTTATTTTTCTAAGACTGTGGAAGGAAGTGTGATTTTTAGGAGAATTATTTTGCCACTAATTAGCTAAAATTAACCAAAGAGGAAAGTCCAGAAGTCAAAGGCAGCTAATTTTAATCATAAAGGCCTATCAAAAATCTAGTCAGAGAAAAACATTCTCTTTGTGATATGGCTGGGGTACTTGGTTTTTAAAAAGAAAATAAGTAGGAAAAGTCAACTTTGATCCAGCAGAAATGCATCTACTTAACATCAATATCCCTGCAAGGATGAGAACAAGACTACATCCTCTTCAGCTCTCACTACTACTCCCAAAAGGCTGAAGGTTCCACCTAGGTAAACACAGGAGATATATACACAGGTACCAGCCCAGTCTATTTAGAGCTAGATAGACTAAATTACTAATGGGTTTGTTGACAGCTCTATGGGCAGCTTTACTTTGGAGTAGATTTGGGGTGCACAAGTTGCCAAAACTACCCCTTAAACATTTCAAGGTCAGCCAAGAAGTTGCCAGTCTTGTCCACTTCACTCCATTGATTGATGTGTCTTGCGTAGCTGCATCCAAGTCTTGGCAGGGGTGACGAATTTTTCTTCAACTTGTTCGCATTGATGATCGGCTGTTAGGGATCTGTAGGGCTAGAATTGCTAAGCTGCAAGAAATAGAAACCAGCATAAGCTAAGCTGAGGCAGTAAAGGGGAATTCATTAAAAGGATGTAGAACTGTTTCCTGAACTCAAGGGCACGAAAGGCACCAGACCTCAAGAAAGAACTTGCTCCATGTCTCATTTCTGTTCTCATCACATTTGCTTCTCAGTTCATAAAGCAGAAAGAAATGTCCACCCCTTGCTCCCAAGTTCCCATCTGGTCTATTCTAGAGATATCCCAGCCAGTCCTGGAATCTTTGGGCCTCAAATTCTAAGGAGAGAGAATGTGAATTGCCAAATTTGGGTCACATATCCATTTTGATACATTCAACGATGGCCAAGTGGAAGGTCACAAGGTACAGACATAACTAACAGGGTATGTACCCAAGAATGGGAAGAGCGATTCAGGAAGATCACCGTGAGCTAGGCAGAAACCCCCAGAAGGTATTCAGTAAATGACTGATTGTCACAACCAGAGGCCAGTGAACTAGCCCAGCACGTGGAGCCCGGGTCAAGCCAAATGATTCCCACTATACCTCTGGCCATACTGTCTCCCTAGGGCAAGAGACTGGCACCCAGTAGGGACTGACACCCTGTAGATGCACAACACTCTGGGAGAAGAGCCCTAGCTATATACTCCCTAAAAGCACCCTGCATTCTTCTTCATCCTGCTTCTTACAATTTATAATCCTACATTTATTTTAAACTTGTTTAATGAGCATCTCTCTCCACCACTCAGCTTGAAGAGCTATGAGGTCAGGTACCATGTTGGTTTTACTTTCCTTCATCATCCTGGCACCATGCCGGGCACAGGGTGGACATGCACTAAAGAGCAAATGAATGAATGGAGTGAAGGAGGCCAGGGAAGTTTTGCCAGATGATTTGGTACATGAGTTGAGTCTCAAAGGACAAATAATAACCTTTTAGGAGAACAAATTGGGATAGCATTCCTGGCAGAGGGAATGACAGAGGGTCCAAAGGCACAGAGACACATAGTGCAAACACCGCAGAGACTGTGAGGCTGGTTGTGGCATGAGAGCTGGTTGGGAAGTGGAGGTGGAGGTCACTGTACATTGTGTAGAGATGGGAGGACGTGGGGTTGGGAACTGTATGTCCAGATCTTAGACTAATCCACCTGATGGGAAAGTGGGAGCTAGATTGGAGGCAGAAAGGTGAGTTAGGACATTTATGTGGTCATCCAAGAGGAAAAAGCAACAGCAGTAAGGACTGGGAGGAAAAGATTTTAAAAGTTAGTAAAGAAGTATTAATAGAATCAGCAGAAAGTTGGGGAATACAATTTTCTCATTTTATTGCATAGCTATCTTACCTCTCCTGCAAGATTGTGAGCCTCTGACGCTCTACCTCATTCCTGTGCACAGTGCTGGCCCAACACACAGCAGGTGTATTGAAAAATAAACTAATGAATGATTGAGTGACTACCACTAACCAAGAGTGGTGGCAGCTGCTAGGGCGGGGTCCCTGGTAGTATCCTTTGAGGGTTCCATAGCACCTTGCTGCTTGTATGTTTATCTTGCCTCCATAAAATGCTTAGAGCTCCTAAATTTATTTTATACCCACCTCAACCTCCAGCACAGGCCTGGGTTCAGGGCGAAATGGTGGCCATACCTCCCTGTTTAATGAGCTAGACTGGAATATACTGAAATGGAATGAAACAGGCTTCCCATTCTATAGAAAGTACCTAACATGCAGATTCAAAAGGGAGAGGAGTGGCTGGCAGGTCTTCCTCTGTCAAAGGCTGTGGGTAGATGGGCCAGGTGTCCATGAGAATAACAAGCTAACTGAAGAGCCCCTCTCAGCTAAGCACCAGGAGAAGGGTGGACAAAATCCCTTCAATGAACTAAAAACACTGGAACCCTTGGGCAAAAACCAAAATGCAAAAGCTTCAAAGAGCTGAGACTAAGCCTGAACGAATACCAGAAGCTTCTGACCTTAGGAAATGATGCAAATAAATAAAGGATGTTCCCAGTTCTGTTCTCAGTAAACATGATGAGTGAATGAGTCAATGAATGAATATACAAATGAATGAACAAACCAGTGAACGAATGTTTTCTATCTATTTATGGCGATTTACAAAAGAAAGAGCTAAGACTGGAAATACATAATTTTTTAGTAACTAGAGCTATTACATTGTACCTAGGAGTCTCTATTATTATCTTGACATATTATTTATAAGCTAAAAAGAGTATGATTCAAACATTTGTTTCATTTCAAGAAAAAGTTCTACACAGAAATCATAAAATAACTGGAGCATGTTGTATAGCCTGACGGTCTCCACACTGAGGACAAGCCTGGACTTTCAATCTTCACAGCAAACGACACTTTCACCTGTCCATTCATCAGTGGCAACTACCCCAAAGCATGTCCAGGTGAAAGTAATCAGCCCAAGACTATTTTAAACCTTTTGGTTGGCCTTAAAATTGCTACTGTCCTATCAGTCAATATTTCTCCATAACTACTTTAGTAGAAATTTCATACACACACAAACCAGTTTGACTGAGTCAAGAGTCACAAAGAAGGAGGAAAGGAGAACACTACATTTTGTAAAAAGCGACACTGCACTATAAATATTTTGGTAGGTTTTCTTGTGTCATTTTGGTTCTGCAGCTTTAACTTATAGTTTCTCACGTTTCTAAAAACCTCTGCCCAAACACACTTTTGGTGGTTGCATGATATTCCTTCAAGGACCTGACCATGGCTTACTTAACCATTAGCTTCCTTTTGGGCAATCAGACTTGTCTCCATGTTGTTAAATTATCCACGATGCTATAATGAATATTCCTGTGCATAAAGTGGTTTTCATATATCAGTTTAACTAGCTCAGGGGAATTCTGGAGTAAGCAATTGAGGGAGATGAACATATCTGTGCACATTGTCTAAAAGAAGACATTTCCTTTGTGCCCTGGACAGATAATGAGGTGGGACCATGATGATGATTTCTGAGTCCTTTCCAGCTTGAGGAACCGCACAAACCGAAACTCCCTGTGATTGGCTGATTCAGAATCTCAAGTGGCATCTGCACCTGTGCCACATCCCATATATAGAAATCCCTCACAGGTGCACAGCTCACAAAGGGATCTATGGGTCAGGACTCTTCATTACAACTACCGAAGTCCATTGTAGGCAATGCACAAAGCAAAGGAGACTACCCGGCAGCTCGCAGTATCTAGAAAGGATCCATGCTCGGAAGCAGATAGAAACCCAGGAAGTCAGGAGCAGTCTGGGTGGAACACCACCTCGGCCACTCCTGGAGCCACCACCTCCACCTGCTGGCTCCACGGCCACCAGGATGCATTCTAACCTACCACCTGACCTGTGCACCACTCAGTCAAGAACGACTGCACTGGTAGACTGGCTGACCATGACCATGTGCCCTTGCACGTGGGTACCCAACCCCATTCCACTTCCATATGGGAGGACAAGCTTTCCCTCCTACCTACCACCCAAACGGATGTTAGGCAATCCCAAAAGGCAAATATCTGCTGTGCACCCCTTTCATCTCTATTACTTCATTTGACTTTGACAAGAACCCTAAGAAGGTAGCAGAGCATCAGATTAGTCCCCATCTTACTGATGGGGAAACTGAGGCTCAGCAAGAGCAACTGACTTCCCAAACCCATGTTAGATGAAGAGATGAGCCCTTTCTGACACTCAGAACTGTTTGTGGTCTGAGTCTGTGAACCATGGACAACAAATGTGTCTCATTTGAGGAATGAGTTATTGGAAGAGGATCAGCTATCACAATCATTAGATACTATACTTCATAAACTTACTGATCTGCATGTCATTTGTCTTATTTTTGTTGTTGTTGTTAATACTTTTTGCCCCTGGAGAAAAGATTGTGAGTGGTGAGCTCATCCATTCTGCCATTCAGAGTATTAAATTAACACCTTGACACGTGGACTAAAACTTAAGAGGTGAAAAATCTGGTCCTTGCAGCCAAGATCAAATATCATTTATCTTAACCTTGCATATTATGAAGACTGTCTAAAAATGCAACTCTGAAGTTCAATGGAAACAAAGAAAAATGTTGGAACTTGTAAAATTTTATAATTTTGCTAAATCTCAGAGGTACCTTGCCTCTTTCTGCACTGCCTTTTTCTGGGCCTCAGAAGCACACTGGGAACAGTGCAGGGTGAGAGGGACCAGGGGATCTCTCTGGAAGAGGTGACATTTAAGATAGATGAATCTTGAGATTGGAAGTCACATGAGGCAATCTGGAGAAAAAAAGTATGTAGTCAGGTTGGTGCTCACAGGACACCAAGGGAGCCCGCAGGAGATGGGGCAGGACAGGGTGAGACATGAAGCATTCCTGACTTGGCCTCTGCACAAAAGGACATTTTGACACAGACTAAAACACAAACCATTAATAGGTCACCATTTTTATTATCAGCACCGTGTGTGGTGGGCATCCTTGCCCAATTCTTAACCACTATCCCATAAATTCAGTGAAATTTGAGTGATCAGAAATGGAGTGTGGATCCTGGATGTCTGTGATTCACATTATTTTGTGACAAATAACTGTATGTAATTATTTATTCTTACTTACATTTGTACATGCATAGAAAAAAATCTAGGATATAACACACAGTATTGTCATCTAGCTCTAAGAGTGATAGGATTATAAGGGTCATTCACTTCCTACATTGTATAATTTTGTAAGGTTTGAATTTTTCAGTAAGCAAGTATTTCTTCTGTTATCAGGAAAAACACACAAAGAAAAATGTCATCTTTAAATGGTAGTTTTCCAATCTGTCACGCTAAGCTGATAAGGCCACGTTAAAACATCTCTTGCCACAGAATGGCCACATCAACCAGGCAGTGTCCAAAAGTCCTGCTTAGGGACACTGAAAGAGCTGAGGAACAAGCATTCTGCTGCTCTCGACCCTCTCTCCAAGCTGTGGCCACTGGCCCATCCCCCTGACCTGTCCCAAACTCACCCGGACCCCCAAAACCAGCCCTTTGGCAATATTTTTAGTTGGAAGTTTTAAAATCCCAATGGATTAAATGGATCAGTGGATGAAGAAAAGAATGTTTCCTGAGCTGTCACCAGGGAAGAAAGCCCATCCTTTGTGGCTATTTCACCATTTTCCAGGGACTCTGTAGAGAAATGTGTGTAATATATAAATAATAGAACGCTGAGGTTGGGGGAAGAATCAAGGAGTTCCTAATGACCTGACCAGAAGATGAATGAGGGAAGAAATAAGGTGAATGTGAAGTGATCTAATTCTGGATGGTTATTAGAATTATGAGCAAACTGCCCCGGGCTTTTAAGTCAAGTCATATTGCTACAGAGTTACTGTTTGGAGATCACAACGGGAGGGAGAAGCTTTTCATGCTCAGGCATCTTGGCTGAAATGTCAAGAATGTTGTCCAGTTTAAAAACTGACTTAATAACATTAGCATCTCCTGCCTGAACCCGGCAGATACCTCGTGGTGCAAAATGTCAACACACAATTTCTCAGACCTGGCCAAGCCATCTTTGTTCCCCAGTCACACAGGAGGTCTTTGTTGGCCAAAGGAGGTAGAAGAACAGCTTAAAGGTGCGTCAAGCCCCAGGCCTCCCTCCAGATCTGTGACAGAGTCCAGAGGGAAGGCCACCTGTCTGAATAAGTCAGGGGTCTGCCCCACCCTCCTCTGCAGAAACAAAGGCCAGGGATGCAGGGCTAATGCCCGATGCACCTGTCAGCATGAAACCCACCTCCAGAACCCGAGCCATGGGCAAGGAGCTCAGGTGCTAAGACTTTACAGCCACAAAGAGGTCCCAGAGCCACAAATGACAGAACCACATGAGTAGGTGAACATGTGTGGTGCCTCCAGTCCTGGTCACCAGGGAGACAACTGTGAATGAAACCCCTCTATCCCTACCTCCCAGACCTCACAGCTCACAGGGAAAAATGACTAACCCAAATTACTACAGATAAGCATATGTGATAACAGCTCCCAGGGAAAAGAGAGGATGTTCTGAGAAGTCACAGCAGCCCTTGGTGGCTCACACTGTGGTGTGGAGCTCAGAGGTCAGGAGACTTGTGAGCTGATGCTCCCATCATTTTGAAAAGACCACAGTGGGTTTTACACAAGCAGACATGTGAACGGAAGTCAAGCTGTAGAGAAAGAGAAGAATGAAGAAGCCCACTGCAGAGATGCCTTCAATTCTACTGTCCCTGCCCAGCACTTCCAAACTATGCAACCATCAAAGCAAAGATTCTTTCCACACCTCCAGCTACAAGCAGATAGGGTAAGTCAATTAGGTCATAAGCAGCCCGCCATGCACACACCTCCTTTGTACCTGGCCAGACGGCTTTCCTGGAGCCTTGGCAGTAAGGCCTTGAAGTATCTGAGCCATTCCAGCCTGCCACCTCACAATGGTCCAAGAAACAGTATTTGTATTAATAGTAGACATTTCCCCCTGCTTAGAATCTCCTCTTTTCCAAAACTGACCCATACCCACAAATTGGGATTATCAATCATATGGCCCCACCTCCCCAGCCCAGGCTGGCCAACCAAGATACCCTAATCCCACTGGACTCAAAGTGATTATCTGAGAGGTGGACACATGACCCACGCAGATTGACTCTCCCAATTGCTCAAGAGAAAACCATAGTTTAAACCAGAACCCACATCTCCAAGGTACAGGTGAAAGGCACAGTGGCAAGTTGGGGAAGGGGGCTTCTGGTTCCTACATTAGCCTCACCCAGAGTGTCCCTCAGCGCAAATCTGAGCCATTTTCCTAGTGCTGGTGACACTAGGTTGCAGGAAGAACTAAACTATCAAAGGGCAGGGGCTTAACACAATAAAAGTTGATTTCTTACAAAAAGTCAGATGTGGGTCATCGGCCCCACTCTTCCTAGAATATTTGGCTCCAAGGTCTCTGTGGCAAAGGCAAAAAGAGAGACGGAGGAAGCACAGCAGCAACTAATTGCCTTTGCCCACAGGTGACACGTCACTTCCTCTCAAAGTCTATTGGCCAGAACCAGTCACATGTCCCCAACCCAGCTGCAAGGGAGGCTGGGAAACGTAAGCATGCGCATGAATACTGGAGGAGCACCAACTGCTATAAGCCATGGATTCTTTTTTTTAAATATCCAAATGATAGTTGAGCCAGAGTTCTTTCTTGGAATTTTCTCCAGGGCACCAATGAGCCATGGCTGTTGGACGGGAGCCCAGAGCCCAGGATCCTGGGGATTATTTGTTTGTCCCGCCCTAGAACACAGCTCCCCACCTGGCCTGACAGGATCCTCCAGACTCCGGGCACCAAAGCCGTCGGCACAGAGACGCCCCAGGACAGGTAACCACACCTCGGGCCTCCTCCCGCGGCCTGTCTGGGAGCCGTGGGGTTGGGCCGCACAACTACACAAAACCATCTTTGCTGAAACCTCCGAAAGATGCCTCCTGAGCAATTAGGCCAACACAAACAAATTGGCCCAGAAAATCAAGGCTCCCACAAGCACAGGGACTTGATCTTGAAGGAAGACAACATTTCCAGCCTTGTACCTCTTAATCAACACAATTATGCAGAGGCCTTTGCCCACAGTCCCCCTGCTCGTTTCTGCCCGGCCCAGACAGTGCTCCATTGGTAAGAACCTAATTAGCGGAGGAGGAGCGCGGCCAGGGAGGGGGGCTGCGGGACCTTCAAAGCAGCCCTTCCCGGCGACTGGAGGGCTCCCCGGAGCCGGAGCTCAAGGTGAGGGGGAAGTGGCAGCTCCACGCTTGTAAATCGGCGGCGCCTAGTGTAAACAATGTACTCTTCCGGCTTCTAATGAGCCCATTTTCCCGCAGCTGGAAGGGGCGAGCGGTGGCAGGGCGGCCTTTGATGTGACGCGCTGGAAGCTTGATGCGCGCCGAGGCATTCTGTAGCAGGCTGAGCCCTTTCATCTCGGCTCCGAGAGACGCCCCCTCATATCGCCGGCTCACCTGGAAGACAGGTCTTTTACAACAGCGCTTCTGGAATCAGCTGTCGAAGAAAACCAGATGGTTTTGCTTTTACTCATCCCGATCAAATTAGCTGTCTGGCTTCCTGGAGGCGGAGAGGGGTGGGTGCGGGTGGGGCAGGTGCGGAGGGGCTGGGGAGGCCACAATGGGATAGATTATGCAAATGTATGCATTTGGATAAACACGAATGTTCTTAAGGAACTCATCTGACTAAATTAAGAAAAATTGTTTATGATCAATGAGCGGAGTAAGACCAAACTCCCCGAAATCATCTGCGGCGTCCCTGGTCATTGCCAAGAGCGCAGTCCCCCCTCCTTGCGCCGGGCGTGCTTGGCTGAGGACCTCGAGATGGAGGGGCAGGAGGTGGGAGCAGAGGAGAGACCCCAACCCAAGCTGCCTCGGGAAGCACAGCAGCCACCAGACGGACAGAGGTGGAGGTGCTGGGAACAGCTGGGGCCTCCTGGCTCTCCTCAGGAAGAAAGCTCGCCTTCCATTTCCGCTCACACCTTCAGGAACTTGGACTCAGGTGCTAGTCGTTAGTCTGGTCGCAGGGAGCTGCCCAGAGGACCACGACAGGGATTCCCCACGGTCCTGCAAATGCCTCTCCCCTCTGGCCTCCTGCCCCAATGTCATCCTCTCTCTTCCTGGCTCCACATTCCTGATGCTGTCCCAGAGCCAGACCTTTCCATGCCGGTGTTCCCCTGGGAAACCTCTGCCCCCTCAGTACCCCATTCTCCCCCCACCACAAGCCTGTGAAGTAAGAGCATTTCATAAACCATGCATAGAGGCTGTACACACCACACTTGTTCATTTGTTTTACCTAAGGGGAAACCAAAGCTCAGAGAGGTTATGTAATTTGTCCAAGATTACCCAGATCATAAGTTGCAAAAAAAAAAAAAAACTGTAAACAGAGCCTGTGTTAAAGATGTCGATTAAAACCAGTAACGTCTCCTTTGTTCCCCCCACCCCCATACCAGACGTTCTCGCAGCATCCGTGGTAACAGGATTTTCCAGCAGAACCTGGGCGTGTGATCCAGGGCTGCTCAACGTGCACACACGCCTTTTGCATCATCTGATTTATTAATACACAGCGATAAGGAGATGTCTGGAAAAAGAGCTCAAAGAATGTCCGCAGCTGGGGTGTGGATATTTGAAGGCCGTCTAAGACATGCCTAGGAGTCAAGTCCCTGCAGAGGTCAGATCCCCAGGAGGTTTGAGGGGGTCCTGGGAGAGAATCTCCCTGAAGAAAGAGTCTGGCTCATCAAGAGTCTGAGGACCAGGGAGAAGTGATGCTTCTTGTGGCTGCTTCTCCAAGCTGCTGCCACCCAGCCAACTGGAAGAGAGAGAAAGACTGGGAAGCAGAAAACCAAAAGAAGCATAGTCCCTTGAGGCCCAAGCAACCCTGCTTCAGGGCCCTCTCAAAAATCACAACACAGCAAAGGGGTCAAATTCCCCACAGGCTTTGCAGCAGAGTGGCAAGTGTGGTCCTAAAGGGTCAAATATGGTGGTCTCCAGAGAAGTGGTGGGAGAGCCCAGCTCCAAGCAGCACCCCTGCAGCAGAGCTGCCGCACCTTCGGCAGAGCCATGGCAATGCATTGGGGCATGCAGAGTGGCTGCGGTGGCACTGAGCTAGGGAAAACTAGATGGACAACGTGGGATGCAGCACAATGCCCCAGGATCTACTGAAGACCCTAAGGCGGGTAAGGGGTGGGGGTCAGAAAAGACAGGGTCTGAGTTCTTATAGTTCAGCAGACACGGGCTCTTGGTCACAAGAGAGCAAGGTCTGTGCAGTAAAGGCACTTCATTTGCACCCAAAGGCTGTGAGGTCCCAAGAGACATTGGGGTTACACAACTCGTGCTAATTGATACTTCTTGTGGACCTACCATTTGTCCCCGGGAATACAGGGATGGATCACCACCATTTCTGCACTCAAGGAGTTCCCATCCTAATGGAAGTGAAGACAGATGAACCAGAAATTATAATAAATGCTCCTTAGTCATTGCCTAAAGTACCATGGAGAGCACAGAGAGAAATAATACATGCTCCCTGGTGAGTCAAGGAAGGCTTCTGAGAGGAGGTGGTATGTGACTTGGGCATTGAAGAGTGAGTAGGAGTTCAAGAGGTAAAGCTGGAGGAAGAACAAGCCAGGCAGATAGAAGAACTCATCAAGAAGAACTCGATCAAAGGCCTGGAGGTGGGAGGGCCTGTTAGGGGTTCTGATGGAGCTGGAACACTGATGTCACTCTTAGGGAAGGAGAGCAGGAGAAACAGAAGCTGACAGCGGGCTGTGAAGAGTGCGAGGCTGTGCCAGGGTGTTTGCATTTTATCCACACTCAGAACCAGAACATATGATGCCTTTGGGGCTTCCTCCTCTACTTTCTTTTGCAGTGAATACCCTATAAAGACAACCCAACCCCTCAAAGCTGTGCCCCACAGCAGGAGAGATGCCACATAGGGCAGGGGCCCCAGGAGACCTGTTGTGAGCCCACTGAGAAGTTCTGAGGAAGAGCAGAAGTGCTCCGGGTCTGAGAGCAAGACAGAGCTTCACTGCATTGCTGCTGCTTCCTTTCAAACCTGCCTCGCAGTGTGGGGGCACCAGCTCCCCCACCTTGGCCCCAGGGTAGTCTCCAGTCCCCAGAGAAGAGGGAGGGATGGAGGCACATATAGAGTGTACACAACAAGGCAGCAGTTTTCAGTCCCATCATTCAGATGACGGAACTGAAACCAGGCAGGGAAAGGATTAACTCTAAGTCACATGATGGCATGGTGATAGATCTAAGACTAGAACCCAAGGCTCTTGACTTCTGATTGATGGTCTTTCTACTAAGACACTCCATGTCCCCTAAGTGTTATGGGTTGGAGTCTATTTTTGGACCCCCACAAGCTTCCAGAACAAAATTTGTTTATGATACAGTTACTAAACAAAGGGGTGTGATTCTAGTCCCCCAATACAGACACATACTCAGCTACAGTATCAATCGTCATAACAGCCAAAATCATTATGACTCCTGCTGGGTACCAAGGCACTACCTCTTGTCATTGTCATGGTAATCCTGTAGGGGGGAACTGTTACTACCCCCATTTTCCAGATGCAGGAAGTGAGGCTCAAAGTGGCTGAGCTGTCTTTGCACACAGTGACCACGACACATACAAAGAAACAACACTCTGGTACCAATTGGTCCCATGTCAACTTAGCTCGACCTTGCAGGTAAATATGGCCTCTGGGAAGCCACAATAACTCCTTCACTCTACAAGAAGTCCTGGGGGACCATACATAACACAGTGAATGCGTCCCAGAGTCCAACAAGGATTTCCAGCCCCCAAATCCAGCCAGTCCTGCCAACTGGAGGCCAACGAGGGAATGCTACAAAAGTGGTCTCTAATTCCAGTTCCCCAATTCCAGACTGTTCTCACCATAGCATTTTAGCCTCCTTTGTCCTAGATCACACACCCATCACTTCTCACCCCACTGCCATAGCTACCTCACTTCTCTCCCTTCCCGCTCTCATCCCTACCCCTCACTTCATGCATTCTCCTGGAGGCAACCATGATAAATCTGTTGAATGGATGTGTATGTGATCATGTTTCTGCTTAAATCCCTTTAATGGCTCCTTATTGTTTTAAAATGTAATTTAACTCCTTCCTATGACCCACAGGTCCTCCCTGATTGAGTCTTGCGCCTCTCCCATACAAATATCCTGGATTTCTTTCCATTGGTCGAAGCATGCTCCACTCTCTCATCTCTGCACCTTTTTACATGCTATTCCCTACACCCAGAACACCCTTCCCAACTCTACTAACTTCTATAATCCTTTAAGGCTTATCTTAAATATCACTACCCCAAGAGGTCCTCCCCAACCATCCCCCACCCATCCTGAGTCTCAGATGAGCTCTCTGTTTTAGCTCATCATAGCACCTACATTTCCCTTGTGGAACCCTTACTGCCCTTGTTCTTGAACTTCCCCGTCTACATGTATATATAAAATCTCTGTCTTCCTTGCTAGACTC